CCTATGGGAGCGCCCATCTCCCCCCTGATGGCTGAAGTATTTATGGATGATATAGACCATAAAATAGTCACGTTAGAGAAATGGAGAAACAGAATTTTCAAATATTTCAGACTGGTAGACGACTCCTTTGGCATATGGTTAGGTTCTGAGAGAGAAGCTGAACAGTTTGTGAAGGAGCTCAATAACTTACACCCAAAAATCAAGTTTAAACTAGAGTTTGGTGGCAAGAAGTTGAACTACCTCGATTTAACCATTCAAATCAAGAACAACAAACTTAAATTCAGCATATACCGCAAACCTTGCTACACTGATGCAATAATACCAGAAAACTCATACCATAGTTGGCAACAGAAGATGGCAGGATTCCACAGTTTCCTTAATAGACTTATCAACATTCCTCTGTCAAAACAAGATTACAATAAAGAACTGAACACCATATTAGAAATTGCAATTAATAATGGATACAAGAAGGAAGACATCCTGAAAATCCTAATGAAGAAAAAGTCAAAACGCATAGACCAGAGACTGTACAACATAGTACCTGATAGAAATAAAAAATGGATATCAATCCCATACGTAGAAAAATTATCCCAGTCTATAACACAACTTGTAAAAAGTGAATATAACGTGACCTTCAACAACGACAAAAATCTAGGTGGCTTTCTCATAAATACTGGCAAAATAAATGAGAACCAAGACAGCTTAGAACAGAGTGGTATCTACAGAATAACATGTGAATGTGGCTCTCTATATATAGGACAAACGGGCAGAAGTATTAAAACAAGGACCAAAGAACATCTAAACCATGCCAAAAACAAGAAATACGGCCACTCATCTCTGTCTGACCATCTAATTGATTCAAAACATCCTCTTGAAAAATGTGAAGTAAAGGTGATGAGAAAATGCAAAAAGGGCAAAAAAATGAACGTTTGTGAACAACTCGAAATAGATAGATTTAAGACCAAAGCCATCCTTAATTCTCAGACAGAGAGTACCATAACAACAGTGATTACCCCTCCCACCTTGATGGACTACTACGTGATAACAGGGAGTGAGGAAGAATGCCAGGGTTATCAGTCTCGCCACAAACGCGAACGCGGACGCGGACATCGAACAACACGCGATCGCGAAAACGTACCGTAAAAAATTTTAGTTTTTATATTTTTAAATCACCTGACGATGGGTGAAAACCCGAAACAGCTGTAGTGTACAATCGACAAGTCTTAGGAAAAATCGGTAAGAAAAAGTTTTACAAAAAAATTTCATAATTAAAGTATGGCCGATAAAGTCAACAAGAGAAGTGAATGTATTTTTTCCCTATCTTCGCATGTAGAGTTTGATCGAATGGAAAGGTCAGAGCCGGATTTAGGGGATGGCCACATGGGCCGAGGCCCATAGTGGCAACTTTAGAAGGCGGCAAATTTTGAAATTTTTTCACATTTAAGTTTAAAAAAACACCGGGTTCAGAAAAAAAAATTACAAACGAGAAAAGGCGACAAATTCTCTAATTTCCTGAGAGTATACATGTTTCTAATCTTGTCGTATTTCGGTGTTACAAGAGACAACACCTTTAATTAGTCGATTTAAGAGAGAAACCAAACACGCAATTTGATATGAAGTGGCGCAGCGCAGAGAGTCATGATGACGAGGACTTGAGATGAAAAAGAGAAGCCTCAGCGCGGCGGTTGGCATGTAAGACATATTAGCACCTACAACACTGCATGAATACTTCACGCATTGCGTCAAACACAGTGCGGTCAGCAGCGGTCGACGTGAAACGCTTAGCGCCTAGAAGACTGCATGAATACTTCACGCATTGCGTCAAAGACAGTGCGTTCAGCAGCGGTCGGCGTGAAACGCTTAGCGCCTACAAGACTGTAGGAATACTTCACGCATTGCGCCAAACACAGTGCGGTCAGCGCGGCGCGGCGGTGGAAGTTAAAATTATTAAACCACCTTCATGTTTTGTTCTTGCATGATTTTTTCGTTCATTTCTTACAAATTGAAGGCCTTGTTCACACTGAGATAGGTTTACGGAACTTAACTTTCGCGCAAAGTTTTGTGAACTTTTGCCAATAGTGTTGACAGGGCTTTCGCAAAAAATATGTCTAACAAGAGTAAACACGTCTTACGCACCCCTCCTCCTCCGGCACGTTCTTTTGATGATTTGTATCCATGTTTCAAAACGAATGAGAGGGGACGGCAAACTGCAGGCGGCCCATGGGCAGCAAGTAGGTAAATCCGGCCCTGGTAAAGGTGGCATCTCAGGGTAGCGCAGGATATCCCATCCCATCCTCATCCCCACCCCTCATCCTCATCCCATCTCATCCCATCCTCTAACCTCAATACTTTAGGCCTCAATTTTGAGAACTTTCTTTGAGTTTTGAAGTTTGTTTTAGAGGAAATCAGTACACCATCGTGTTTCTCGCGAAATTTTACATGGGAATCAGTACTGAAATTGCAAATTCCTGAGACATGCAAGAGCTCCATCATGAAATGAGGAAGATTTTTTGGCAAGCGTCACGTAATACTAAGGTGCTTACGTAACGTCAGGTACTTTCTGATACTTCAGATACTTTCAGGTTCTTTCTCAGGTACTTAACGATCCTTCCGCAGAGGCGGATCCAGCAATTTGGCAACACCGGATTTCCTACATTTAAACCTATGCTGAATACTCGATTCTTGTCGGAGCACCTGGTCCCTCCAAGAATCGATACATTTCCATAGGTTTAAATGTAGCAAATCCGGTGTTGCCAAATTGCTGGATCCGTCAATGATCCTTTGGTAGATAATGTGGAACATGTACTTACTTGACATTTGTGCGGGACGCTGGCGTAAAAGCCATCGTGGAGCCCGTCGCATTTGAAGTCAATGTCCTCGGGGACTCCGTTGTAGAAGGGGTAGTCGGTGAGGTTGTAGCCGTTGAGCTCCCTCGGGAGATTCGGGTCGTAGACGTAGTCGATCTGCGGGTTCCCGGTCAGCTTGGACTTGACCGCCGTCACGTTCACCGGGATCACCGTCCCGTCCGGGAGCGTGATGTTTTCCCCCGTTCCCAGACCTTCCACTTGCAGCTGGAAAACATCAAAATCTTACATTACAAAGAGAACGGACATTGTGTGTATCGCAGGCAATGAGCGGTCGTTGGTGATATGGACCAGTAGACAAGGTACAAATTTAAGCATTCTGCGGGCTGATTATTGAAATTGATATACCAAGCTATAGAGAAAGAAGACACAGGAAGTATAGAGCAATCCTATTCATTGAAATGGGTGGTTCCTTTAGGCTAAGGGGGTGAATGATGGACTAACTATGGAGTCCTTCGTGGGTTGCCGTTAGTTTATCATCTACCTTCTTTGTCCATTGCAACTAGCCGCTTCCACCAATAGGATTCCACCATATCCCTCTTGTCGTCTTTGTCTACAACTTTGTCTATCAGTTTCAATAATCGACCCGCTGATACGCATATCGTCACCCTCCGGCCAAAGTATCGCACGTGCCATGCGACGTTTCAAAATCTATTCTGCTTACAGAGTGACTTACACTATTACGGGGTGGAATCTCCTCTTTTTGTGGAGTGTAATACGCTTTTATGGTGCTAAGTTCACTTCGCATTCATATCACCCGGGGTTTTCGGGCGCTACATAGACAATACATTAGAACAAGGTACAATTTAGTGGGCTGATTGTTGAAATGGGTAGACAAAGCTGTAGGCAAAGCTGACAAAAAGGATATGGAGGGATACTGCATTGGCTGAAGCAGGTGGTTGCGATGGACAAAGAAAGTAGCTACTAGACTGACTAACGGCAACCCTTAGTTAGTCCACCATTTTCTCCCTTAGTCCATAAGAACCACCCATTTCAACCAATAGGATCGCTCTTTACTCCTTATATTTTCCATGTCTATCGCTTTTGTCTATCACTTTCAACAGTCGGCCCGCAGTACGCTTCCTCTCCTATGACCTCGTTGAAATTGATCAAAACAGAAAGATGGATATTTTTGGTGGGTCGAATGAAACCACGGAGATCGCACTCACTGGAAAAAAACAAAAAAAAAACACATTGGATCTAGAGTCCAGACTCTTAAAAACATCGACAATTTGCTTGAATCAAAATGAAATCCGCTCAAATTAAGAGGCTTGGTTCTTGATTTAAGCTTAAATCTGATTGAATCAAGAGTATTTTTTCTTGTCAATGTTTTCAAGAGTCTGAACTCTAGATCCAATGTGTTTTTTTTTCCAGTGCTCCCATTCTTTGAAATTCGGTTCAACCAGGCTTTCTTTCAAATCAGTCAGCACTGTTGGCGAGCCTCGGGGGTATTTTGTCTGCATCTGGAGCCGGCCCGGTTCACTTGGAGCTTTCAACCGGGGCGACCGGGGGAACGGCCCCCGTCAAGTTCAAGAAAGGGCATCGCACCGACACCGGCAGCGGCGCACTTTCAGCTCTCGTTTCTTTTCATCCTCGTGGCTCTTCACCTCAACCGCCGCACACTGGGCCGAGTCAATAGGGGAGGTCGGACATAATTTCGGAAACTTGAAACGCTTATAACTCCGTTTATACAACATTTTGAGATTCTAAAAATGGTTCCATTGGTTTTCTCGTGAAATTTCCTTCCAAAAGCACCCCTCGAACTTTAAATTGTGACGAAGTAAACATAAAAATTTGCAGTTTTAGTCAAAAATTTCATTTTAATTGACTCGATCCACTGTGCGGCGCACGCTCCAGATCCACTCAATGCGACTCTTTTAACCGGACAAAACGGAGGCGGACCCGGATGACCCGCCCGGGATGAGCTCATTGAGTGGGTAATTGAATTTTCGCAAAGGGAAAAGGGGTCATGAAGGGGAGAGGGGTGGAGAGGGGGTGGGGAGAAGTATGACCAAGAAGAAGTCTTACCTCATCCTTGGCTTGCTCGGCTTTGTTCTTCGCTTGCAGGACGACCGCTGACCCCTTGAGCGCCTCCAGAAGGTTTACTTGAATCAAGCACAACAGGACACCTGAAACATCGCAAGTTCCCGTTGAGCAATCGTCTTCTCCGGTAAAATCATTTCCATGCACCGAGAAAAAAAGTTCGGTCACACGAACCGAATATACGCGGAGAAAAAAACCTCGTGCGTGGGACCCGAAGTTTAGGTCTTATGGATCTCTGAAGTTTCCGAATTGAGCATCTGAACACTTTAGATCTAGCTGTCGAGGTTCGGATCACACATCTAAAACTCCAGTTCTTACTTCTGAATAAGAACTTCAGATGTGAGAACCGAAGTTTTCCGAATGTGAGAACCGAAGTTTTTCGGATGTGAAAACCGAACTACTTCAGATGTATGAACTGAAGTTTCAGATGTGTGATCCGAACCTCAGCAGCTGGACCTAAAGTGTTCAGATGCTCAATCCGAAAACTTCAGAGATACATATGACCTAAACTTCAGGTCCCACGCACGAAGTTTTTTTCTCCGTGTACGGTGTTCACTATCGGCCGTATTTTTCGGTTCATGCGATCGCTCTCTCGGCTCTGGGAATCGTATCTTCGGTTCATGGAACCGAGATTTTTCCTTAGTTCTGTTCGGTTTGAATGCTCGGTTACACGAGCCGAGGATACAGTTCCCAGCACCGGTCACATGAACCGAACGATGCGGCCGATATTGAGCACCGCACATTCGGTTCATATGACCGAAATTTTTCTCCGTGTCACCAAAATGCGAAACTACGTGTCTCCGTTTGCGACTTTCCGTGTAGACTTCCTGTCACACTTTGGTTTTTTCTCAAGAAAATTAGACAATTCAATCTCTTGAAAACTTCCTTGATTTTTCCTCTCTATAAGTAGAATATCCTGTATAAATTTCAAGATCTATAGTTGACTTGGTTCTCTTCGAAAAAATGAAATAGGAGCGGAAATTTTAAAACTTTACAGGTACCCAGGTTCTGCATTTTATGCAATTTTTCTTACCTTAAAATTGCTGTATTTTTACAGCAGTTGGGCGAAAAATTCCGATCTCAAATGATCAGATAGACAATGAGCAATGCGCTAATGAAGAAAAAAAAATTGTAATTTGCTACAATTCTATTGCAATTTCTAATTGGAAGAGCCCCTTCAATTAATAGATAGACAACAAGCACAACACTCCGATGCATTAGGATTGCACCACGTAATCGCGCATTTATTATAATAGGTAGGTACTTGGGTTGTGAAAATTATGCACGTAAAATTTGAATTGAAACGCACAAAGCAGAAACGAACCTAGTCATATCAGACATTGCCAAATTTCACCGGACAAATTATTCTTTACAGGAGAATAGTATAGAGAAGATTCTTTTGAAAAACTTTTCCTCTGTAAAATGAAGAAAATTCATTGAGATTTTCAAAAGATTCTGTACAGCCGCTTTCCAACAAAAGAAAAAAAACAATTGTTCAATGAAATTTGGCAATGATTGATTTTACTTAGTTCTTTGTCACTGATCAATCCTGTGGACTGATTTATTAGCAACGTCATTCGATTCACCGATTTGCGATAATTGCGATGTATCGCATAATTCGTTATATTTCTGTCTAGGATCGTACCAACCATGGTGTAGCCACTAAATCAGTTTATTAGTCATTTTATACCTTTTATCCATAAAAACTCTTCAAATGCCCCAATTCGTGACGAGATCCCTCTCAAAAGCAGGACACTTTTAGATGAGCCGGCCAGCGGCATCCCTAGCGTTGCGAGAGCCGGGACAATAACCTTTGTCTGCTCGACGCGGTGGATCGAAGTAGGAAGTCTCGATTGTGCGGCATGGCAGATGATGGGGATCGGATAAGCGGGATGCAGAACGCATAATGCGATCCGCAAATAGAGATCAGCGATTTGGAGATTGCGGCACGTATACACTCACCGCTGCCGTGCTAAGGAAGAACGTCGTATGAACATTCGAGAGTTGCCGAATTTCCCATTATAAAACATGTATTTTTGACAAAAGGTATGCACACTGGTAAAAAAACACATTGGATCTAGAGTCCAGACTCTTGAAAACATTGACAAGAAAAAGAACTCTTGATTTGATCAGATTTAAGCTTAAATCAAAAGGTAACCCGCTCAAATTAAGAGGCTTGGTTCTTGATTCAAGCTTAAATCTGATTGAATAAAGAGTATTTTTTCTTGTCGATGTTTTTAAGAGTCTGGACTCTAGATCCAATGTGTTTTTTTTTCCAGTGCATATTTTTCCTTGAAACATACAGATATTTTAGATTAAGTTGCGTTATGTGGAAAAGGGTGTCTGCAAGTCCGGAATTTCCGGAAAAATTACTAATTTTTTCAGGGCGGGGCGGTATTCTGCAAGAAGGTCCGGAATTTTTTCATAGTTTTTGTCCTCTTTGTCGCAATTTAAGCAGGAAACTCAAATTTTTGAACTTTGCCGACTTTCAGCAATTAGAGTTACTAGAAAAGTCATAAAAAGCGAAAATTCCGCAAGAAAGTCTAGAATTTTTCCCTTCACAACGAGCGTGTTCTTTGATGAAGCCTGGAAAGTATGCAGTCACTGCGCGATGATTCTCAGAGTCGTATTTGCCTGCATGATCGAGATTGTGCAGTCAGTTAATCTTCAAGCCACCGATGACATTTTTTCCAAGACATTTTTGTCGCAATTCGAGCGAGAATTACAAATTTTTGAAATGTGTCAAATTAATTCAGATGAAGGTACTGAAAAAGTACTGAATCTTTCTGTTAAGGAGCTCGAATGAAAGGAGGAATGAGAAACTATACCTTTTTACTTAAAATAGTATAAATCAATATTTAAGTGAAAAACCTTAACTCTTCTTAATTCTTGGGAAAGCACTGAAAAAGATCTGTAAAAGCACTGATTTTTGGCCAGCCTGTTTTAGTTGACACCCTGGTACAAAATTGTGTGAAAATTTTGGGAACGAATATTCACAATTTTCCCAGTAAAGTCGGTTTTTATTGAAGGGAATTTGGCAACGTCTGAAGGCTCATACGGCGTTTTTACTGTGCATGGCAGAACGTAGGATGCGTTATGAGCGATCTGGGGCTCGCGCGTGACGTAAGCGGAGGGACAGCCTACGTAGTCGTGTACAGCACTCGTGGGTGCAGACATGCGACGTCCTCATTACCGTACGTTCGATAGAACTGATAAGCCTGCAAAAGTGCCCTACTGACTCACACAGGCCTTTCAGTGGAATTTTTCTAACGGAAAAGATGCTATTTTAAGTGCTGGATTATTGCGGTGCATCGCCAGGATCATCAAATCTTAAACAACTTCAACCAATTTTATTGTGGAAAATTTGCAATTTTTGTTCCTTCTGATATAATCGTCATTTAGACTAAGTTGATCAGAGACGCACCAATTTTTTTTTGAATGTTTTGTTTTAAAGGAGGGATCGTTCCTCGTTAACTTGTAGGCAAAACCCTCCATGAGAGCGATGGGCCCAAAGTAGAATAGATTGCAAAAAGTTGCGATAACATGGTAAAATTGAGGCATTTTTCGGTGAAAGGGCGTATGAGACTTTCAATGCTGCTAAAACGATGCCTCGTAGTTCCCTAGTAACTCATCCGAAACTCTAAAAATGAGCAACGCATAGCCTATGAGCGCAAATCCCTAAATGAAAGAAAACTTACGAAGAAACAAATACATGATTTTTATCAACATTTCAATTAGGATATTTTGGGAGGAATTTTGGGCCAACTTCGATGGTCGATTTTTAAAATGTTCGCACTTAAACGGCAAAAGTATTTTCCAGAAAAGGGAAAAATCCAAACTATGCTAATAAAAGAAAGCTCTACAAATCTTGCTCTGATACCTAATTTTTGCGATTTCGAGGATCGGCAAAATTGTAATACTTTTTAACAATCAATGGATTTTTCAGGAAACTAACAACGTTCTGATAAAATTCAGTAATTGTTCACTTCATTGGTGGAATGGTGGAATGAACAACCCTAGAATTATGTTGAGGCGTGAAAGAAACAAGCATAGTACCCCTCGTTAGTATCGCGTGGAACGAACACTAGGAGAAATCTATCGCGACGCTTTGATGCAACTATTCGAACTCAGCGGATGTCCATATTGCATACGCACGAGATTGAAGGCGTTTTGGCTCTCCAGGCACTCACCGTTTCACCCTCAGCGCGGCGCGGACGGTCAGTATTGCGAGGATCTAAAATGACAAAGCGCCTTCAATTCTTCGTTCATACTACGGAGACATCTCTTTTATAGGCATGAATACAATTGTTCCCTCTTCCTGTCATCATTTTTCTTTAGTGAAAAAATACTCAGTCATTTTTTGAAAATTCCTCCATGTCTCTTCTTTTGAGTGAGGAATATTTCGTAATAATTTCAAACCACAGCGTCTTTTCGTTTTTCTTTGATGAATTAAAATGAGATTAAATTAAAGGGGAAGATTTTGAAACAGCGCGAACTAAATAAACGTGTGCAGAATGCAGATTTGCAAAATTCAGACTGAATGTGCAGAATATGTAGAGAAATTGCACAATTTGTGTGCAGATATTTCTCGCGAACCAAATCAGCTACATCAAAATTCTACCTTCAGAATAGTGGCACCGAACACATAGGACTAGATTGGAACGCCCGCGACACGACAAGAATGAGTGAGTGAGCAAAGAATGATTTCGAGAATGGCGGTTAATTTACTTCCGCCTCGAAGTCAATTGAGTCGCACTTTTAAGCATCGTAATGAGAGTGGGTATTTCTGTCGATGAGATAGTGAAAGGTGATCTACATTGCATCGTTTCACGAAATACTCTCATGGATGTGAGAGCGACCGAAAACTATTGTGGCCAGCTGAGCGAGAGAAGAACTGATAACCATTAAAGTTTAATGAGTGCTGTTACCTAATTTTTCAGGGTAATTTGAATTAGTCAATTTGCATTAAAAAAATCACCTGCTAAGAAGAATCGCCATGATATGTGAAAGCTGCTTCTTGGCATTTCGATCTGTAAAAAAAAAGTAGAATAAGTCAATTAGTTGAGTTACACTAGTAAAAAAGTAATTTCCTAGGCAGTTTAAGTGCAATTATATCGACCTCTTGGAGCATGGCGAGGTCATAGGGTTTAAATTTTTTTTTATTTGTTTTTCAGTTCCAGAAACCTTAATCTATTTAACCTTTATCTAATTTTAAGATTGTAACTAAGATGGGAAAGTAAATAAAATTAAGTCTACTTATTTGAGTAAATAATATAATCAGCACCCAAATTCAAATAAAATTTAGATACAATTTATAAGTTCCAGTAACTTTTTCGATAATAATTACACCATATATATAAGCTAAAAGAACTACAACACCCCTCATAACTTGCAGTGTGAGTGTGTGACAAATCACGAATTTGTCCGCCTTTACTGTGGCTTTTGCTAAAAAGCTCGGCAAGTCATCAGCCAAAGTCACTCGGGGAACAGAAACTTTTAACAGGTTTTATCGTTTTACATGTTTTTTTCTCATCGGTTAAAACTGTAATACCAAAAAAGAAGACATTTTTAGTTTGTTTAGTAACAAGTATTTTTATGAGCGTTTCGGGCTCTTTCTCTAAATGGTCTACAGTGCACCACCATAAATCTAAACCTAATTTTATGAAAATGCACTATCATAGCACATACTTAATCATAGAATCAAGAAACCAAGGGTGTCACTGCCGCGGTGGATGTCGTCATAAACCGACTTTTTAAAGGGCGATATCTCGGTTATTAGTGAACGTAGAAAGTTGCGGTTTAGACAGATCTTATTATTTTTAGCTTATCTACAAAGATCAATCATCGAAACATACGATTCTGTGATCAGGGCAACTGACCCATTACTGTGATAAAGTTGTTGAAAATGAAAAGTACCTACCATAAGTGGGGCTGAGCCAAATGATTGTACTCAGCACGCATTGAATTAGCACGTGGTGCTACGTGTGTCTTTAATCTTCGATGTTTCCTGGAGCCACTCGTCTTTGGGCGTCTTCCCATTGATTTAGCGATCTCAAACTCATCGAAGACTCAACGGCTCCAGCGCGCTGCCCCCCTGCCCTGGATGACGTCAGCGGATTTCAAGATGTCTTCCTTACTCTCGTTGTCGCTGGCATTTGTCCTCAAGCACAAATGCTCCGACCCACGCAGGAAGCTCCAAAAATGCTGTTTTGGAGAAAATCTCTCCGCTTTGTTTTGAGCTCAGTTGAATCTGAAACAAAAGCAAAAATTTCAAGATAACAAGACCGTGGTGAGAGCTTCGAAGTTTGAAAGAATGGAAAAATTTTGCTAGTGAAAATGCATGAACGCATAAACCTTCCGATTTTCCCAGATTTTTTTCAATAAGTAACAAACTTACTGGGGAAAATGTTGAATATTTTCTTCGAATTTTTCAGACAATTTTGTTCGCACTTCGATCTCAAATATTTGAGAATTTCAAGGAGAAATACGAATAAAACTTTCCTAAATAAATAAGGATGGAATTAAAACATGAGTAAGCAAGGCTAAAACATCAAAAAGACTAAATGGCAGGACGTTTAGGGTTAGTATGGCTTTTAGTGTTTTTAATATTTTAGCCTTGTTTACCCATGTTTTATTAATTCCACCCTTCTTTATTCGTGTATTCGGGCTACGTTTTTCTGCTTTATCTTTCCTAAATATAGATATTTCATCAGGAGAATTTTGGCAACTCTCGAATTTTCATGTTGCATTTTTCCTTAGTACGGCAGAACTGCGGCCTGGTCTGATATTTGCTGCGTTTTTAAATTTTAGATACATTTTCCCTGAAATCATCAAAATGTGTCATTCAAATACTATGAAAAATTTTTCGTATAACTGTTTCAGCTGCGATACTCATTAGTTAATTTCTAAAAAAGCGCGCTCATTCGCATAACAGTACACTGGAAAAAAAAAACACATTGGATCTAGAGTCCAGACTCTTGAAAACATTGACAAGAAACTATACTCTTGATTCAATCGGATTTTTGCTTGAATCAAAACGAAATCCGCTTAAATTAAGAGGCTTGGTTCTTGATTTAAGCTAGATTCTGATTGAATCAAGAGTACTTTTTCTTGTCGATGTTTTTAAGAGTCTGGACTCTAGATCCAATGTGTTTTTTCCCCAAAGTTCTGCATTTTAAACGGGGTGCTGAAGCTGTTTGTTTTTAAAGTCACGCTCGGTTTCATGATCTGAAATAAAATCCGATCAAACTTGTTTGGACGCCGAAGTAGGTTATGGAAGTTCGGCCCTAATAATTTGACAACCCTGTGTTACGGGAGTGAAGATTCCGTATGATGCCTCACTCGTTTCCGGGTCCAAGCGGAAATGCAAAGCACGGAGTATAGTATCAACTGCTTATTAAATCTATGCTCACTCGAGGATGGCTGCGCATCTGATTTTGAGCGAACCGTTAAGGTTTTCGTGTTTTTATGGTCAGGTCAAAGCTCAGTGCGACAGGCACGTAAATTGCGTGGGTGACTCGAATGTGTGTCAACGGGTGACATCCAAACCGAAATGGCCTGGAAGTAGCTCTAAGCTCCTTAAAAATCTTTCGCTACCCTGGTGAAAATTGGCGATAAGAGCTGCGTTTCAAAATACCATAGAAATTCTTATAGCCGACTAAAGAAGGCTACAGAAAATCATACATATAGCTGGCTGTAGAATGTGGAGAAAATCATACGGCCGGGCTATACGAAGCGATAAAAAATTATGCAGCCGGGCTATAGTACCTATCGCAGGGCTTTACAATTTATCGCCTGGCTGTTGCTTTTTCGCCATCGATTATAAAAGGCTATAAGAAATTGTGTAGAAATTCGTGAGCTTTGGAAATCATCAAGTTTGATACGGAACCACCTCAATATTGACAAAACACACATTATATTTTTCTTTAATACATATTTTTTTTTCATCAATTAAAATGAGAATAATCCATTCAGGATGTGCAAACATTTCAAAATCATGATTTGAATAACGCTGACTCCGCCAGATTAAATATTAGAGCCTAACACAAAGTGGAGCGGCGACGCACTGGCGCCTACAAACCTAACAGGGATATTTCACGCATTGCGCAACGCGTGAAGTATCCCTGTTAGGTTTGTAGGCGCCAATGCGCGTTTCGCGCTGGCTGCCCGCCTGCCGCGCCGCAGCGCAGCGTGCCACGGCGCTTGAAGCAACTATTTCACCCTAGAGGTATTGCACAGTATCATACGAAACTGAAGGCGATCTAATATATTAGAAGTGGCAGGCATCCATCAAAAGTACAGAGCTTTCCTCGCACAATAAATCAAGATACTACGGCCCAAAAAGAGAGCAGTATTCAAAAAACTCACTAAGTCCTAGCATCCGTAATTAGTAACGCTTAGCGTACACTTTATCGCCTGGCTGTTGCTTAATCGCCATCGGCTATAAAAGGCCATAAGAAATTGTGTAGCCGGCTATAGAAGCTATTGGAAATCTTACAGCCGGCTGTGGGTCTATGGTATTTTGGAACACAGATTCTACTGCCAATTTTTGCCAGGGTATATTTGAAGACCGGGTTCTGTGACGCGATAAATGATTTTGAAGTTCCGTCATCGATGATCAAACAATTAGAAACGAAACAGAACCGTATTTACAGGCGATAAATTAAAGAAACTGATATTTTTGTTTGGTAAAATGAGTAGATTCGTCTTATGCAGGAACAGTGGTTGAGTGGGTCTTTTTTGTTGAGAGGGAAAAAAAAAACTGTATAAAAATCAGGGGATAAGCTGAAACCTCGAACATATGTTTCAGCTGCAGGGACTGAATGGAGTCCCTCCACCAAGATTAGAGACTTAGATTGCACCAAACCTTTATTTTATGGACCCTTACTTTGAAAATTTGAACCTAGAGTATCCTAATATTTCTGAACTCAATGAAAAATTATTTATAATGTACTAGTGACTTAAAAATTGTGTAAACTGGTTCCGAACTAATATTGTAGAAAGTTGTGGTTATGAAAACTAGAATAAAATGGTGTCTATAGATGAAAAGCAGGACCTTATGGGAGGTCGTGGACTTCTTGCCATTTTAAAAGTTTCAAATAATAAATAAAAATTCGGAGCGGTGATCTCATTCTAGTCTCATCAAACAAACCTACCTATCGACCCTAGGATTTTAACGTACCCTTATGTGTGTATTTTTGGTACCATGGCGCTCCGTTACCCATTTGTTAGTCTGTCACGAATGATGGAATTGTGAGAGACGAGCATTATTTTCGTGCGACGGCAATAGTCCAAGATTCAACGAGATGCTTTCAATCAGGACCCCCACCATCGAGCATAGCACAACGTCAATTGTAACGCCCGCATGCAACTATTCATGCTTGATGGATGTCCGTGTTGCATACGCAAAAAATTGAAGGCGTTTCAGCCTTCATATACGCACCTCAATAATTGTTCTAAACGAGTCAGTCAGTTATTCCCAGGACAAAGTCCAGCGTGTTGCTGAAGGCATTTTAACTTTTCCTCATTCTCACGTCGCCGAAGTACACAAAGGGCTGGGTAAGTAATTGGCACCGAACGCAACACTACGCGTATACTAGCGCCTGGATGCAACTATTAATGATCGATGGATGTCCGTGTTGCATATCCGAAAAATTGAAGGAGTATTGCTTCTTATTGTGAGGTTTCATGTGATTTTGTTTTTACTCTGTGCAGTGGTAAATTCAGGATCTTGATGACGTTACTAAAGGGATTTCACACGGATTATATCGAAATAGAAGACAAAAAATAGTCAGACTATTAAGCATTAATTTTTATCTCGATTTCATTCCTTTTTATTTCGATTTGCGATAGACAATGCGCTGCTACAAACCAAATAATATGTACCATCGTTTCTCAAGGGAGAATCTGTAGACAGTAAAGTGCACATACAGCCGAGGAGCGGCAGAAAAGTAATCGACTCCATTCATACCGCCACAAAATACGCCTGTCAGTCTATAAAGCGGATCAGGTGAGAAGAACGTGAAGGACACAGATTTGCCTTCGATAAATTTCCCAATCAAATATGGCACCTTCGTCGGTCAACCACGAATCAATCTGAACATGTGCATGTGCTCATATGTTATTTAGTTCACCATCCACACACAAGTGGGATTGAATAAATGATCGCTACGAAGTCCAAGTTGTCACTTTTTTCCCCACCCGCGGGCACCTAAAGTTGACCAAAATCAATTCGAATGCCAACCCTGTGCCTGTTTTCACGGAGGAGGTATACAATTTAAGGTCACTCCTCTTAAAACGCCTGACGACCTTAAGTTACATGTGGCTTCTTTTTTACCGCTCTTTCGCTCAGTTCAAAATATGTATTTAACTTCATTTTAAGTCAAGCCCTTGGGCCGATGCGACGGCTAGGCTGATAGCCGATGTTCTATCTACTTTGAACCATAACCTCATAAACTGGTTGTAAGCCAAATTATTCTAAATGCTGATGAAATTTAAGTGCTACGAGTTTTGTCCAGCTATCCTCCAAACGAATGAGAACTTACATAGTTGAGGCCGAAATATCAGGGCTTTACGTGGTAAAGGGAGAGTCCACCACTGTACCACCGTACTTAGCCGAATTCTCTAAGTAGAGAGTTAGAGTTAGTTACTTGAGCTAGGTAATATGAATAACATGAAAAATAGAACACAATGCATCAACGGAGAATTTGCAGGTGTCAGAAACTTTTTGAATTTTATGTTTTAGAAAAAAAACCCATTGAGTAAACTGAGCAAGAGCATGGGGGAGCATGAACAAGGTTTCTAAAATGAGCAGTTATTATAGGAGGCATGACCAAATGACCTAATATGCTAATCCATGTGTTTAAATGGGAAATGCCTCCTTATGACGTCACAAGTTGGCATATTTTCTCCCTTAAAAATCAATTTTTCTACAATTTGTCACGTTAGAAAATGAGAATTATAAAAATACCGCGTTAGTAGCTCATCAAGCTCTCTCAGCTGCAGCAATAATCTTTTTTCGTGCAAATTCTCCATTGATGAAATTAAGCTGATATTCAAGCTGTCACATTCTGCCATGCTAAGGAAAAAAACTGTATGAACATCCTAATGTTGCCAAATTCCTGTTAAAAAAACATTCATTTTTTAGGAAATTAATGCACATTTTTCATCGAAATTTCCTGAAACAGTAGATTAAATTGAAATATGAATTTTCTGAAAAATTGGGAGAAAAATATCCTCAAGTTTCCTCAG